GAGGAGGAGCAGGAAGCCAAGGCTGAGCTGCAACGTAGTCTCTCCAAAGCAAATTCTGAAGTGGCTCAGTGGAGAACCAAGTATGAAACTGATGCCATCCAGAGAACAGAGGAGCTGGAAGATGCAAAGTAAGAAATAAGAAATCCATTGTCAAATTTGCAAGTAGCAGATTTCCATTATGCAAAAGCATAAGGTTTTGAATTTTTAGAGTAAAAAAAATTTGAACAGCCTGAATTCAACACTGCCTTGCCTTTCAGGAAGAAACTTGCTCAGCGTCTGCAAGATGCAGAGGAAGCTGTGGAAGCTGTAAATGCCAAATGCTCCTCCCTGGAGAAGACCAAGCACAGACTGCAGAATGAGATTGAAGACCTCATGGTTGATGTAGAAAGATCCAATGCTGCTGCAGCTGCTCTGGACAAGAAACAAAGAAACTTTGACAAGGTGATGATGTACTATTCGTCTATATACTAGCTTCTACCTGCACAGAAGGTAAAAGCAGCTTTTTTCTTTTTTCATGGAAGTAATGTCCTGATGACTTCAGGCTATATGATGCTTACAAATTCATCTCCAGTGAATGGTGTATGGTAAATGTCATAAACTCCACTTGACTAGAAAGAAAATTGCAGGGAATGTTCCAAAGAAAACTGTTGCTCCTGTCTTTTTGTTAGTTAGTCACATGAAGCTAAAAGATCGTATATACATTTTTGTGTATGTGATATAGGTCCTTGCTGAATGGAAGCAAAAATATGAAGAGTCTCAGACTGAGTTAGAAAGTGCCCAAAAGGAGGCCCGATCTCTAAGCACTGAGCTGTTTAAACTGAAGAACTCTTATGAAGAGTCTCTGGATCATCTGGAGACCATGAAAAGGGAGAACAAGAACCTTCAAGGTAGCTATTTTTGGTACATTCTCTGGCACAGTGATGGATAATACATGTCCTACAAATAAATAACACTACCAAACATCATTACCTTTGTCAAACAGAGGAAATTTCTGATCTCACTGAGCAAATTGGAGAGACGGGAAAGAGCATCCATGAACTGGAGAAAACCCGTAAACAACTGGAACAGGAAAAGGCTGAGATTCAGTCTGCTCTGGAAGAGGCTGAGGTAGATTGACTGTATTTGGAGAAGACAAAAACATTCTACATATATACATACATTCTTAAAAAAGATGGTTCTTCAAGGGTTCTTCAATCAAGAAAATGTTTCTATATAGAACCATGAACGTTCAAAGAACCCTTGGCATGATTTAAGGGTTCTCTGCATCGTGAAATAGTTCTTCAGATTGATGGAGAATGTGCCGTAGATGGTTCTATATAGAAAAACCTAAACACCAAAAAGGGTTCCACTACTGTTACAAGGCAAAGAACCCTGTTTGGCACTGTACAGAACTCTTTTTGGCCAATGTAACCAAAGTTGAAGTAAATTATTGTTGACTTACTGTCACAATTTACAACTGTGTACTTATAGGCCTCCCTTGAGCATGAAGAAGGAAAGATCTTACGGGCTCAGCTGGAGTTCAATCAAGTGAAAGCTGATATTGAGCGTAAGCTGGCAGAGAAGGATGAAGAGATGGAGCAGTCCAAGAGGAACCAACAGAGAGTGGTGGACACCCTACAAAGCTCTCTGGAGTCTGAGACTCGCAGCAGGAACGAAGCCCTCAGGATAAAGAAGAAGATGGAGGGAGACCTTAATGAGATGGAGATCCAGCTCAGCCAGGCTAACAGGCAGGCAGCAGAGGCACAGAAGCAACTCAAGAGTCTCCATGGGCATCTGAAGGTAGGCCTGAAAACACACTATAGGAAGTAGTACTGCTAAAATCTCATCAGTTGTGAAATTCAACTGCTACATTGTGAACATTTACCTTCTAGGATGCCCAGCTCCAGCTGGACGATGCTCTCCGTGGTAATGATGATCTCAAAGAGAACATCGCTATTGTGGAGAGACGCAACAATCTGCTACAAGCTGAACTAGATGAGCTGAGATCTCTCGTCGAGCAGACCGAGAGAGGCCGGAAACTGGCAGAGCAGGAACTGCTGGATGTCAGTGAGAGGGTTCAGCTATTGCACTCTCAGGTAGTATACAGATTTATTTGTTGCTTAAATAAAAAGATGCAAGATTCATGGTGGGGAAAGTATAATATAAGTAATCTCTACTACAAACTATAAATAGAATACTAGTCTGCTGAACCAGAAGAAGAAACTGGAAGGTGACACTGCCCAGCTTCAGACTGAGGTAGAAGAGGCTGTCCAAGAGTGCAGGAATGCTGAGGAAAAGGCCAAAAAAGCCATCACTGATGCTGCCATGATGGCAGAGGAGCTGAAGAAGGAGCAGGACACCAGTGCTCACTTGGAGCGTATGAAGAAAAACATGGAGCAGACCATCAAGGACTTACAGCATCGTCTAGATGAAGCTGAGCAAATTGCTATGAAGGGTGGGAAAAAGCAGGTTCAGAAGCTGGAGGCCAGGGTTAGTAACTAAAATATTTCAGAAAAGTTTATAAACAAATAAAATTAGCATATTATTATAGGATGGACCTAAACATCAACTCAATTTTTTCTTGCAGGTGAGAGAGCTGGAAAATGAGGTGGAGATAGAACAGAGAAAGGCCAGTGACTCTGTGAAAGGAATTCGGAAATATGAAAGACGCATCAAGGAGCTCACTTACCAGGTAAGCCACTCCTTCTAGATGAAAAAGACAATAATTAAAGCTAATTTCATTAATGTACAAAGCGATTAAACTATGTCTAAACAATCAATTTTGAGTTGAGTTTTTGTCTATCTGAAAAACATCAGGGCAAAGACATTTGCATAGTTGAGCAAAAAAAAAGTAAGTGTATAATATAGTATGCATACAACAGCATGACTATCTACCATGGTTGCATACCATATGGTCTCCTCTGCCACCTTCAGCAGGCCTTGACTCAAAAGCACAGCAGGATCTGCTACATAAATTCCTTTAAGCTGCTGTATTTTTTACTAATTTTATCTTTTTATTTCTCTCTCACAGACTGAGGAGGATCGTAAAAATCTGGCCCGTCTTCAAGACTTGGTAGACAAACTGCAGCTGAAAGTCAAGTCCTACAAGAGAGCTGCAGAGGAAGCTGTAAGTAATAATTTAAACATCATGAACCTGCAATATTTTTCGCCATGATTAATCATATGTATCGTCACCTTTTCTCTGAATTCAAATACACATTGTTTATTTCACAGGAGGAGCAGGCCAATACTAATCTGACTAAGTTCCGCAAGATACAGCACGAGCTGGATGAGGCAGAGGAGAGGGCTGATATTGCAGAGTCTCAAGTCAACAAGCTAAGAGCCAAAAGCCGAGACACAAGCAAGGTGAGTGGGGCGACAAAGGTGATTAAATTAGCCAAGGAAAGACAATGCAAGATTACGAAAACAGGAGCAGTTATTTGATAAAACAACTTGCATTTGTATATCTGATGTTCAGCACATCAGATGTAACACATAAATAGAAACTGCTGGGCTTAAATAATGAAACATAAGAGTAACTGGCTGGACAAATTAAAGATATCAGCTCAAACAGTTGTTGAATGTTGAAATAGTATTACTGACAAAAAACAACTTTGACGTGTTTACATTTTCCTTTTCTTCCTTTTTTCCATCTTCCAGAAAGGACATGATGAAGAGTGAAGCTCTCATTTGAACCTTTCTCAAAAGCCTGTCTTCTGTGACTCTTCATGAGTTGCTTGCCTGTAGCCGGATGGAATAAAGTTCATGTGCAGTTGAACTCTTTGTCCTGCTGTTTATGTTGTCTGTGTGACATTACTACTACTCATCTCATCCCACACAACAGAGGTCTGATTTAAGTCTCAGTAGTCTAGTACTGTTAGTCTTTCTTTCATTAGTCCTGATACAGCTGTAGTATCGACCTGAAATGGTACCACATGTTAAGCCATCAGGTGCTTACTTCTGTATTCAGATTATCAAATACACGATACATGATGCACTTGCATACGAAACAGTGTGTTAGCCACTATATAGTAGACAGATTACAGGCACTGTTACTAGTATTTGCTAATAACAAGAAAAATATTACGTAGCTAACTAAGTGCATAGCACCCTTGATAGGCAGACTGCTTGGTACAAAAAAAAACAAAAAAAAACAAAAAAAAACAAGATGCCCATGAGCCTCATGTAGTATTGTGGTGAGCATACAAATATGCTAATTTTCCCTTATTTTCAGTAATTCAGTGTATACCTAGATTAGTGTATTTTGTGTTTTCATATGTAGTCAGGCAGCCCATCAGCCTGGAAAATGTATAAAAATGAGAATATTACTGTATATAAAAGGTCCAGAACATGTATGTAAAAAAATCTATGAAAAACATCCTAGAAATTCTTAAAGTTATTTATGTTTTGAGCACATGAATATTTAATGTAACAAGAGGTGCAGAATCACTGAGCAACATAAACTGCACCTGCAGCCTATGGCATGTGCAGCTGTGCTTGTTGGTTGAAGAGAGAAGCTGCAGAACAAATTCAAATCTTCATTTAAAGCTAAAGCTGACCTTATTTGACATGTTCATGTAAGAAATGAGAGTGGGCCTTTTGCCCAGTGGTCAGTCTCCTTACATAACATTGTGTCTAACAACCATTGACTATATCTACACTTATAAAAAGATGGTTCTGCAAGGGTTCTTGAATTGTTCTATTTAGAACCTTTTGCATGCTTTGCTCTTTGGCTATGGTTAAATGTTTCTTCAGGTTCGTGGAGAATGTGTTGTATATGGTTCTGTATAGAATCTTTTTGAAAACTGTTCGCACCAAAAAGGGTTCTGCTATTGTTAAGATGCCAAGCTTGTAACAATAGCAGAACGCCTTCTGGTGCTATTTAGAACCATTTCCAAAAAGGTTCTATACAGAACCATACACAACGCATTCTCCATCAATGGAAAAAAACATTTAAGCATGCAAATGGTTCTGAATAGAACAACTACCTTTACTAAAGAACCCTTGAAGAACCATCTTTTTAAAGAGTGTAACGTTATGATTTTAACCGACTCCGCCCTGGTCCGTCACGACGCATGTGTGTTTGAAACTAGCATCGATTTTACACATCGAATTAAACTACAGAAACTGCTGGTTTAGACAACGCAAGTTACAACATTTAACCTCCACTAATATGAGCTATCGCCAAGCAATAATCTACATGTGAAATTTTACTTTTCTTACCTCAAAGTCGGTAAACAAAGTCTCACAGCAAGCCGACCAGCTACCCAAGACCACCGCTCCGTGTCCTTTCTCTGCGGCCGTCTTCACCATCTTCACCACGCTAGCACTGTTGGGCCAAAAACAAAACTCAGGTGGTTCAACTGTTTGTCAAGGTTACTATACACTAAATTTAACCCACTTTTATTGTTTTATCTGTATTTCGGTTCTCTTCTGTCTCTGCAGGACTGAATCTAACCTTACTCTTCTGCTTTATGACCGTAGAGTGAAACCCCGCTGCTGAGAGTGAGGCGTCGTTTTTTGACGGTTTTGTTTTTATTTAAATTGCATGAAAAAACGGTCAAACGAGCGCGGAGGTAGTTTGCTGAAATGACCGTTGGCTAGTTAGCGTTCACTCCGCATTTATTACTAGTAATTACCACTAATGTACTAATTATTGTGTGCTGGCTAGCTTACACGAGCTGACCAAAAAGTGGTTCCCATGTTTTCCCTTCTCTCTTTAGCGCCTATGGCAAGCCATTTTAGTCTAAAATGAGACCAGCGATACAGATCATAACTAGTAAAAAAACTAAATTCTGACTAGTAGAAATAATAATTATATATATGTATGTTAATATTTAACTGGTGAAATGTATATTTTCGCTAGTAAAAATGATATTTTAACTGGTCAAAATTGAATAAACAGCTACAGAACAATGGCCGCTCATAGTATAGCGTTAGCTACAGCCCTGTTATCCCTCGTGCACCAGTCTGTCTTAGCACTCAATAACATTGGCAGGACGCAGGAGATACTTTGGCTTTCGTGTTGACCTATTAATTAATATAATAGTGTAACATAATACAATAGTGTTTTTATGGGTTGCAAAGTTGTATACCTGCTAATGCATTTTTAGTTTATTTGTTTAAATTCAGGTTAACCTTTCAATTGTTTAATTCGCTGGCTGCGCAAGATATAGATTTTAATCTGAATTAGGCCAGAAAAAAGGGACTTTGAATAGGCAACCTATCTGCAAAAACTGGTCTCAAAAATAACCTGCTGGTTATTTATTCTGGCGCATCCATCAGGCACACTTAATAGCAGGTCAGATCACAAGTTAACCTACTTTTAAAACTATGTGGTGAAGTACAGATATAAAATAAAACCTAGGTATGAAACCACTAATTAAACTGCTTTATTTCACACTTTAGGGTCCAACCCACCATAAAAATATCATGGCCAGTAAAGCTCCTTGGCACACCAGTTAGCTAGATAAACTGTTGATAATTGTCGATAATTAATCTTCTGGTTGCTGTAATATTGTCAGTGTTCCTGGAGCACTACAGTCACTCCCTCACTAATGTGACCATATTTAATTCTCTGTTGAATGACTCAGATTCTTCCTCCATCCTTCATTCATCTCCTTCTCGACTGCCCTGTACTGACTTCCTGCACACATTCCACCCTTTTTCCACCTAATGTCGCTCTCATAAATATGCATGTAATACAAATCTCATAGTCGTTAATATGTTCATTAAACCGTTGTAGAGATCTCAAAGATAATTTTAATTAGTAAGAATTAGAAATGTAGATCTCTTAAACTTTATTTTAAATCTCTGAAACTTCATTGAAGACATCTGTAACGCTGTTATCACTAGTCTTAACTTTAATTTTTGATATCTTATTTTCAATTCTAATTCTAATGTAATTCATACCAGCCAAAACATAATTACAGTAAAAAGTAGTTATTACTAGTCAAAACTGCATTCTGACTAGTTATAATTCTACATTTAGATATCAGTAATATGATTCTTACTAGTTAAAATAGAATTCTAGATCTCTACAACTTTTAGAGATCTGAAACTATACATATCTCTAATGCATATTATAACTAGTCATAAGTAAATTAAATAGATCTTGAATCAGTATTTCCACTTGTATATAGATATGTGGACCTGGATTTTTTTCTAGTCAAAATTAAAGTGTAGACATCTGTAATTAACAAGGTTAATCACAGAAGAAATTATTAATTAATAAGAAATTATTAATTAATTGAATTAGTAGTTAATGATTACATTATTTAACAACTGTTGTTACTCTTTTTTAAGTGCCTTACTATCCCTTTGCTGGTGTAGCACTTTGAATTTCCCCTGTGGTGGGACTAATAAAAGATTATTTTAATTATAATTTCTACTAGTACAAATGTAATTGTAGATATCTGTAATTGTTTTAACTAGTATGTAACTATAAATGCAACTATAGATAAGACAGAATTCCATGTAAACCAATGGTGACATATGATTAGTCAAAATTACAGTATGGATATGTTATCATGGCAAACAAACTGCATTACAGAGCCCTCAAATTTGAGTTTTAACGAGTAAAACAGTTAGGACTTGTATCGCTGGTGTCATTTCACAATATACTGTAATAGCAGGGCACGACCTGGGGGAGGTGCTGTTGCGGCTTTAATGCAGCGCTGCCTCTGCTGTAAAAAAAGGAATATACTAACAGAACGGAAAAGTGGAATCCCGGCTCGGCCAATCATATCACACGTCCTAAATTGTAAGCCAATCATATCAGACCTGGGGGAGGGTCTCTAGCTTTAATCGCTCTGCATATTAACGTCAGTGAACGCTGCAGACAGGATTTTGACTAAATGTTCTCTAAAAACAATAAATCTTTAATTGACAGCTCTTCATATTCTTTGTTCTCTTCTGTACTTGGAACCAGTGACACCAGTATTTGCCATATATTGTTGTTACAGTAAGTTAATGTCAGTGAAAAGCTCATATAGTGTTGATCATAAAGCAATTTCATATCCCTCAATTCTTAACCTGTAGATGGAAATTAAGAGGCAGCAGTTCTGTCGAAGGCCAGTCAGGTGAGATTTTTTTTAGCCAGTTAAAACAAAACAAATTTGAATTGATTGATCATTATTTCCTAGAATTGTTGTAAATCTGAGTTTAATAAAATAATATATTACTAAACACAGGAAGAGAGGGAGAGAAAGAAGCTGAAGGAGACTGACAGGACTGAAGGAGCAGATCTGATGGAGGTTAGTGATCAAAAACAAAATGAAGGAGAGTTGTTGAAGCTCTCAGTTAAAATTAATGCTGAACTTATTTGAATGGAACTGAGAAAATAACAATATTTGTCACTATGACCATGGAATTTTATCATCTAGCTTGTTAAACATGCTGACAGAGCACAATCACACTCTCTCTGATTGCACCAACGGAGACTGAATTGATCAATAATCTGTGTATTTGAATAATATATTTAGGAGAGAGAGGAGAGAGCATTGCTTGACTCTAGTACCTTTGCTTGATCTGTGCCTGTTGTAAGTGGATGGATATAGTGTTTAAGCCGGACTCGCTCTGAGCTTAATACAAGCTACCAAGAGACAGATCTACCGTGTGCCAAATTAACCAAACAGCCATTTTTTGATAAATTTTCTGGCTGTGGCTACTCTAAAATTTAATGATTAACAGACATTTCGGGGCCATTAAAAATTCTCCTGGGGGACCATGCCCCCCCAGTACATGAACCTCTAGTGATACCCCAGCTAACACATTGATAGTCCTGTGGTATTTTACTTTAGACAAAGTGGAAGACAAAGTAAAATGTAAAAAGGTAAAAAAAGTCAAATTAGTGACAAAAACCTGGCTGACTACCCACTAGCCATATGTCCTTCTCTATGTCTTGGTTTTTGGAATCTCAGTTGCCTCTTGGAATCGGAATCCATTTCTGGAATGAACAGCCCTGTCGTTCAGTGATGCCAAAATAGGCAGAATAACCTGGATTAGCATTTTGTGCTAGGCTACTTGCTATGAAATAATTGTTTATGGGTAATTTTCCCTTACCTTGAAGTTTTTCAATCAAGTTTCATGTCACAATCGAGTTTCATGTTCAAGATAAATTAATATGTATTCAGTAGTACAAAAAAACAGATGGATGATAATAATAACAGCAATACTTCTGCTACTACCACTATTACTACTACTACTACTAATAATAATAATAATAATCATCATCATCATCACACATTTGTTTTCCATGTTTTGAGATTTTCTCTATAGCACAGGATTTCCCTTACAGAAAAGTTACATATATTTCACATGTGAAGTGTGCAAAAACCAAATGTGCCTATTTACAAGTGAAATTCATGTGACTTTTTTGTAAGGTTTTCAATCCTAGTCCTGGGGACCCCATGCTCTGGACATTTTTGTGATTCCCTTCCTCCAGCACACCCAGCCAAGCCCAAAGGGACCTTGTTAATTAGATAATGAGTTGAATCAGGTGTGCAAAATTGGGAAAAGCACAAAAAAGGTGCAGAGCACGGGGCCTCCAGGACTAGGACTGGGAAACCCTGTTATAGAATATGCAAATGTCATAGATATAATTATTTGATAGAATATTCTAAAAGGTAAACCTTAAGTAGTTGCAACCATATTAGATACAGGCTGTGTCAAGTAAGACATTTGTAGAGTCAAATTGTTTATATATATTTGACTGTATAGTTGTCCAAATGATTTAAATATACATGTGTCTTACCATATTTCTCAGGTTGCATACAAAGTCACATTATCTGTGTGGGTGAGAGGAGAGAGAGAGAGAGAGAGAGAGAGAGAGCACAAGTATAACTGATAAAGCAATCTTGATGCATCATCCACTAAAAGGATTAGGAATTCATTGCTCCTAAGTCAGTAGTTACTGATAACTTTTTCGTACTTATGTAGCATTGAAACCTTTAGCAAATACACATGCACACAGTTATTTGTACATTTTTTGAAGAAAAGTTTAAGAGCCTTTCCTACAAAAAAGAAAAAGCAAAGTCAAACTTACCAGTGTCACTACTCGTCTGGGTGAACAGGAACATGGAAATCTACAGTCCTTCTATTGTAGAAACTTACTACAAATGACCACTAGGATGTGAAAGGAAGTGGAGACCTTGTGCCCAGAGTCAGTGATGCTGTAACAAGCGCTATGGTGTTGATTAAAGGAGGAGCTGGCATGGAACAGCTGAGTGGGAGGAGGAGTAGGTGTCCAAACGTTCACTTAAGAAAGCACAAGGCAGCAACCTTCAATCACTCAGTTATATTAAGACCAGTTCTCAGAGCGCCATGGTGCATACCTACTTTGATGGGGGTTCCAGGCACACACAATAGATAAATAAATGGCACATTTTAAAAGCTTCTATTTTTTCTGGTTTTCGTTGTTACTTCAAATTAACCATGTGAACAGGGAACAGTAGTTCAGCAGGCTAGAATAACAGCCTTTTCACACATGCAAGTACCACTTTGTATACTTCTCTGACAAAACGGTTTTAAATAAACATATTTTTAATGAAATGATTCAATTAACTCTGATCATTGAACCTTTTTTGTGCTACTAGTTTTACATTTAGGACACCTATAATTTAGTCTCTTTATTAGGTGCATCCTAGCCTTCATCAAAACATTAATGTGCTAAATGCTCCCTCAATAGACTTTGTAACCTAAGTAGCTCACGGGGTCCAAAAAGGGTGCCAGAATTTGCAAGGTGCTATGATTTATGCCAGACCTTCACGAAGAGACCACCTGCTACCACCCAGATCTCAATGCACCACACCAGTATAGCTGCTCGTCTCAATCAGACAGAGGCACTCAGGAGGAATTTCACAGGGTTATCTTCGTCCCCAAGGACAAAAGGAAGGAAACAATGCTGCATAAACAAGTCACTGTTCCACCAGCTGAAAGGACAGCAACAGACATCCAGGTCTATATGATTTAAAAAAAAAAATCCAAGGACATACTAAGGACCTGCTAAGGACATGCGCATTGTCTTTTATTTGTAGGTGAAGCAGCATATTCTTTTTTTATATTGATCAGGTGATGTATTGATCAAAGTAAATTTCAGATGTACAAGTTAAAAGATAAATAACACAAGTCATGGTTTTAATTAAAAGCTAAGTTAAAGAGACACATTTTCAGAACCTTCTTAAAAGTGAGTACTGAGCTTGACTGTCTAAAAAAAGTGGAATTGAATTCCACAGTTCAGAAGCATAACAACTGAATGAGGCCTCTCCATGTTTTCTGTATTTTACAGAAGGTATTTGTAGAAGGCCACTATCTGCAGATCTAAGATCAGATGTTGTAATGTAAACAGACAAACACTCTGTGATGTAAGCGGGTGTTAGGTCTTTTAGAGCCTTAACAACTAGTAGCAGAACTTTAAAATCTAGCCTGAACGATAAAGGTATCCGGTGCAGTTATTTTAAAATGGGCGTGATAGGATATCTCTGTTTTGTTTTTGTTAGTTTCTTATAAAGCATTTTTCTCTGAGTTTTTGTACCAATGATCAGTATTTCCATTTTTTTGTGATTTAATTGTAGAAAATTTTGTGGCATCCACTGAGAAATATCTGACACACAGCTGGTCAGTCTATCTACAGAGTCTTGATCATCAGAAGGAATGAAAATGTATAACTTGGTGTCATCAGCATAGCTATGAAAAATTATATTATGCTTCCTAATGGCATTGCCTAGAGGTAGCATGTACAAAGAGAAAAGCAAAGGCCCTAAAACTGAACCTTAAGGGACTCCATGAGAAATGCCAAATCTTTTTGATGAATGATTTCTAATTGAAACCATGAACTGCCTATTACTTAAATATGATTTAAATCATTCTAAAACCGTGCCCGAGAGGCCGACCCAGCATTCAAGAAGTTGGATTAAAATCTTGTGGTCAACAGTATCAAAAGCTGCACTAAGATCTAATAAAACAAGAATAGAAGGATTTTGTTCATCAGCACTTAGCCTGAGGCCATTCACAACATGGACCAACGCTGTCTCAGTACTGTGGTTAAACCGAAAAACCTGACTGAAACTTCTCATATAATTTGTTTGATATTAGATACGCATTTTATTGTTTGAAAACAACTTTTTCTAAAACTTAAAAAGGTTGGTTTAAAATTGGTCTAAAATGATTTAGTATGGAAGGATCCATGCTACTTTTTTTTGCAGAGGCTTCACCAAGGCAGTTTTAAAAGTGTCTGGAAAAGCACCTGTTGGCAGAGAACAATTTACAGTGTGAACACAGTCAAAAACCATCTTGAGGAGTGAAGTAGGAACAGGGTCAAAATCACATATGGATGAACTTAGCTTGTTTACAACAGTTGAACAGTTGAACTCCTGATAATTGATAACAGAGAAAGATGTCATTACTGATGTAGGTGGCTTATCAGGAACATTACAGGAGCTTGTTTCAGCTGGCTGAGCTATGCCCCTGTCTTATCAGGTCTATTTTATTTTGAAAATGAACTGTGAACTTTTCGCAAATTTTAGAAGATAAATGACCATGAGACGCACTAGCAGAAAAGCTGTGGTTAATTATTCGGTCTATGGTGGAAAAAAGGATTGTGGTATTATCTTTGTGTCTACTATCTTCTTTAGAGAGGTATGACTGTCTGGATATTTTCATAGCATTATTATAGATTGAGATCTACTCTTTCAGAAAATCATAATGTACCTGCAGTTTAGTTTTCCTCCATAAGCACTCTGATTTATGACAATTTCTCTTAAGCTGGCATATTTCTGCATTCATCCATTTTTATGAGCATGCGAGTTTTTCTTCCATTTGACTGGAGCGAGAATGGGTTTCCCGTAATCTAGCATTTAGATCAGAGACTAGATTACAGGAGGGAGTCAGAGCTGTATTTGCTGAGCTATTATAAAGGCTTTTTGAGGAATGAGGAGCATTAGATTTGGACGGAGGTGAATCCTGTGTAAAGGTCTAAAGAGGTCCAGAAGGAGGTCTAAAGTTTCATGATACTCATGTTTACAAAGAACATACATTCTTGTTCATCATAGTGATAATGCTTTTGCACCCAACAAACTAAGTCTAATGATGATCTAGTGAGATATAAGGAAATAAGAATGTATGTATTAATATGTGTTGACTCTTAGAACAACATGCAGTTTTCATCCTTGGTTCATCTACACCCTTGCAGAACACTGAGGGGATCATTACCAGGAGAATGTTCACTATGCTGTAAACTCTGTCTACAATGTGCGCCATACAGCTGGGATTCAGATTTGCCTTTAGGCCCCTGAGGACTCAATCAGGTCACATGAATGTGCTCATATGGCAAGTTAAAGACAGCAGTCTCTCATGGTACTCAGTTGCTATGGTCCATACCACAGTAAACATTTGTCTCATCAAATGGCAAAGTGAAATGCTTAGCGTTCTTTTTCACGCATGTTGAGGCACTTGATAGTGCTCCATGGCTGGCAATATTGCATGATGCCATGGCAGCCTTCATATGGAGTGCGTTGGAACAATGCTGCACAACGTCTCGGAAAGTTTGATGTTATTTTATTACTATAACATGGTGAACAATCCAATATTGTAACATTTGATGCTACAATTGTTTATTTAAATAGTATTATCCCTATGGGTAAATCAAATTTTGCCTTATATTTGAGTTGCATAGGCATAAACACACTGGCATACCTAAAACATACAAGTTAAGAGTTTTACGATGCGAAGAAACAAAGTATGTGAGGTATTGCTCATTTTGTATTTAAGTAGTGTTTTTAAACAGAATGTTTATGTCCTTGTTCCATCCAGAACATGATGAATGAAGCTGAATTATTTAGTTATATTTTTAGTTATATTTATATATTAGTCATATTTGATTTATCTAATGTTATGTTTTGTAAAAGAAATTGAACAGCATATAAGAGAAACGTACTGAGTCAGAATTGCTCATAGTGGTGGAGACAAGAAACAGAAATCTAAAACGTTTAAAATCTGTAAAAGCTACATCCACTGTAAAAAATGCCCTTGATGTAATAACAAGCAAATTAAATAGTTTTATTCAACTCAAATGAATACATTGAATAATTGTTGCTTCATTCAAACTCTTTATTTAAATTGAGTAAAACAAGTTACATCACCACCACAGGAAATCATTTTTAAGGTTCAACTGACAAATCATTTTTTACAGTACAAAGTAAGTCACAAAAAAGGTTACAAACACATTGCCAGATGCAGAAAACCGTGTTTTATGATGGTTTGCAATAAGCCTTTGGCCTAAAATATATTTATAAAATACAAGAGGTACAGTTGTATGCAAAATTTTGGACACAAGAAGTACACATTCTCTGCAGAGAATACACTTCTACACAATTTAATGCACAATTACTTTTTTTTGTTGCTTTTTTTGTTTGTTTGTTAATTTTTTTTCTTTTTGCTGAATTTAATGTGTTGTAAAAATAAAAAAATATTCTAGGTTTAATTTTTTTCTGAAAAAAAATGTTAAAACTCAGAAAATAAATAGAAATCATGCACTAAAAAAGCAGAAAAATGCCATGTGTAAGCATGTTCTCTGTAGAGGATGTATTAACTTATTTTCACTTAGGTTCAAAATTATGCACATGACTGTATATGCAAGTTGTTGAAAGGCAAAATAGTACCTGAAAAAAATTTCTTCTTTTCAGATTTAAAAATTCTTTTACCATTTTCAACACTGCATAAAAAACTCAGAAGACACATGCAGATTCACTAGTGGATTGGATAGCAAATAAAATGGCTAAATTTGTGTTGAAGACATTGCGATTTCTGTAAAGAAATGCACCATTTCACATCAGCCACTCTGAATAAAATTACATTTTTTGCAGAAATTTTGAAACATCTGTAGAATTCCTCTTTTAGCTGTAGCAATTTGAATATTCTTTGTCATGGTATCATGTTGGTATAGAGCATAGTGTAGATACTACATTTGGTATCAGTATCGAAGACAATTTGGGATATTGTGAAAACCCTTGAAAGGAATAGGTGCTCGCCTTGCCAAATTGGTGACTGGTGGACATGGTGATGAGACTGGTGATATAAGAATAAAACTGGAAAATATGTTTATATGTATCATTGTTTTTTATTTCAGCAGTCTTATTTTTCGACAGGCCAGCATTCACAGCACTTTTTAGGTGTTCATTCCTTTTTCGATCTTTCAGACAAACATTAAAAAAAATATTGTCACTTGACTTCTGAGACCTTCCATGAGTT